TAGCCAGAGAATTGGTTGGTTAGTTTACAAACTAGCTAAAGCTTGGCTATTTTATGTTACTAAAAATTTTGATTTCATATTAGCCAAACTGAATTGGATAGTATAGAAACTATCCAGCTATTTTAGTTTTCTCAATAATTTCAAGTAAATTAGCCAAGATCCTTGGTTATTTTGTAAACTAGCCGCTAATTTAGTTGAACATAATATGACGCGTTTCTCGGAAAAACATCATTAGTCCAAAATTAACATATTTGGGAAAATGAAAAAAACTCTCCGACATTCCCATTTTTGACCAAAGTACTTGATTGACCTATTTACTACATGTAAAAAAATGTAAGATACTTTGTCCAGAATTCCTCATGTTTGTATTTTCAAACGAATATGAAAAAAACACATAAAATACATGAACATGTGAGGTTTTTAGAAGAAAAAAACAAACAATTCTCCTTACTACAAACACTACAAACTAAATACTAACTCTGAGTAACAAAATAAATGAAAAAACTAAAAACTGTATTACCGCCACACTCTTCGCATTCACTGCTGTTATAATCGTTGTCGACCGTGTTATCAGGACTGTCAGGTGCTATGGTCTTCTGCTCTTTTATTAAGTTATCATAAAATTTTCTATTGCTGTGGTAATGTAAAAGAGGTAGAAGCTTTTCTAGAGTGTCCAAAAACGTCACATGTCGTGTACATGTGACTTTCTTAGACGAAACGGAGTGGACTTGTGATGTTTTTAGAAGAACAAGCTAAATTTCATATTTAATTATTATGGAACCTATAACATTTTTACGAGAAACAATTATTTGTATACGTATATATGGAGGTAAGAAAACAGTTGGTGCTAATATCTAAATTTCGACGATATTGGACTAATGATGTTTTTCCGAGAAACGCCTCATATGTTTTCAATTAAAATAGCTGACAGTTTGGGTAGTTTATAAACTATCCAGCTAGTTTATAAACTATCCAAGTTTGCACATTAGCCTAACATATATATCAAACAAAAGGATTTTTAATTTTCTTTTAAATGACAGCTAAAATAGTAAACAATCTAAAGAATATTTTGCTGTATTTTGTAAACTTCATATTTTGGTATGTGATTTTTAAGTATTAAGATCCACATTACAATTAAATCGGTGAGAATAAGAACAGTTCAAGTCAAAAAATTGAATTTTGACAAGTTTAAAATACATTTTTGTGAGAAGATATAAATTATTTTACAGAATATGAATATTATATTTCATAAAATAGTTAAAATATTCCAACAAAAATGCATTTAGAACTATAAAACTGATTTTTTTAAATATTTTATCAAAAATTTTACTTTTGGACTCGTACTATTCTTAATCTTATCGATTCAATTACTGATACCTATTAACTAAACGGTTAACATATTTGTTCTTAAAATATAAATATAACATCATTTGATTTTGGCTTAGTTTTTTAGCCAAATCTATCGACGCATTTTTTTAAATAAAATTAAAAGTGTGGTGAAATTTATACTTGTATATATACATATGTATGTACCTCAGATATATACAAGTTTTAATTTTACCTCACGTTTAATTTTATTTAAAAAAAACTCGTTGAGCGATTTTTCTAAAAAACTAGTCAATATAACTTATTTTTACAAAAGAAGTATTAGGTAATTTTTTTTTATTTTTTAAGTAGTAGTTTTTATTTAGGTAATTAAAGAAATTCATTTCCATACTTTATTTATCCTAAAATTTGTAATTTAGCCGTGGGAGCCCTGAAAGTTTGACAAAATTGTCAACCTTAATAACATTCCCAAAAAAACGAATTTTAAAAGAATTTTTTTACTGTGACATATGAGTCATGCCTACTACACAGTAATGTGATTATTTTCAAAATCGCTGATTTCGTGAAATTTTCTGGTCCCACTTGACGTGGCTTGACTATTCACGGTGTGGTTTAAAAAAGTTAGATGTAAAGTTCGAGAACCCCAAAGTTATAAACAGGGAATGATTCTACATCGTTTCAATAAATAATTAATGAAAAAATTAAAATATTTCCCTGAGCGCAATTTTTTTGCCTTATTAAATATAAGACCATTATTTAAGGGGTTAGATACACTCACTACGCCAAAAAAGAGCAATTTTTACGTTTTTTGTTTCAAAGACTGGTTTATTCATTTTGAAATAAATATTTTGACAGCTGTTTTGACGTATTTCAAAAAGTTACAATAATCACAGGTGCCTGTTTTCTCTCGACTTAAGTGTGTTTATCTGCTCCTACATTGACTAGCTGTGAGTTTATGGCGTTTTAGTCACGGGCTGAAGTTAGCTTTATTATAAATTAGAGAAAAGTGAGGTTAATTCCGTTGACATTTGACAGATGTCAAATGTTTAACAAATAAAATTGGATTTTAATTCTTCTTTGTGGTCGTCGTAGATAAAGTATAGTATGCAACTCGTTTTATAAACTTATCTAGACACTCGTTTTTATTAAACACTTCGCTCGTGCTTAATAAAACTCGTAACTAAAATGGCGTTTATAAAACTTGATACATAATATACTATTTGAGACGTCAAAATTCGAGTAAAATATTATTGAACAATGTTGACATTCTACGTGAAATTTGCTCTTCAACAAGTAACTTTTCTTGTATGAAATAAGTAAAAAATATTTCGAATCATTCAAGAACGTTGTCGATTTTTGTTTCTCAATCAAATTAAAAGAAGGACATCTTGAAAAGATTGCGATATTTACAGAAAGTTATATGAGTTTAGACATAAACGTAACGCCTTAGGTTCACACAGTTTTTTCCACATAGAAGATTTTTATAAACAAAACGACAAAGGGTTAAGGTTTTATTCAGAACAAGCGGTGGAATCATCTCACTCAGACTTTAATAAAATATGGAATAAATACAAAGTAAAAAATCGCATCCTCAATATGCAGAAAAATTACTTAAAGCTGTATGTGAATACAATAGTAGACACCTTTAATTAGTTATAATGTATATATCAAACTTAGATATACAGGGTGTCCGGGAAAAGGAGGTCAATCCGTTAACCATATATTCCTTGAGTTAAAACAATAAGGGCCGGTTTTTCAATCGTTGATTAAGTTTATCTTACGGTTTATTTCCTTAGATACTATTGTTAACACAATAGTATCTAAGAAAGTTAACCGTAAGTTAAACTTAACCAACGATTGAAATACCGGCCCTAAGACTTTCATAATACCATTTTTCAATTTAGAGCTTCATGTTCGATATACAGGGCGACAAAGTTTGAAATTAAAAACTGAATTTTTTTAATAATTCGAGTAATTGATAAGATACTAAGTTTAAATTCGGTACACTACTTCAACATAAATAGTCACTTTTTGAGACCAACAAAACAAAAAAACAATTGTCAAATAATCAAAATAGGGGGGTCCAGTACTCACTAACTCCCCCTATTTTTTAGTACGTGCGCCAATGACTTCCAAACGGAATTTTTTCAGGTAATCATTTATTGTTGAAAATGTTTTGTCTCTTATAAAATTTTGATAAAATGATTTGTTTTAGAGATAATTTGTAAAGTATGGGTCAGTCCATATCAAATTTTCAAAATTTAATTTTTTTTTGAGAAAATGTAGGTCATGTGATATATCATAAAAATGTTCTCTAATAGGCCTTTAAAATAAGCCATCACTCACCTTTCTACTTTTAATAGTTTACGAGATATCGCTATTTTTGTAAGTACTTGCAAGACCCAAATTTATCGGAATTTTTTGATTTTCAAAAATCAATAAAACAAAAACCACCTATCGAAAAAAGTTCATATATGGGATTTTTGAGTTTTTTAGTGAGGTAAACAAATTTACCAAAAATGATCAAAATCGGAGATGGTGGGGGAAGAACCTTTTGTTGATTTGATATGGACTGACCCATACTTTACAAATTATCTCTAAAACAAATAATTTTATAAAAATTTTATAAGAGACAATTTTTTTTTAACAATAAATGATTACCTGAAAAAATACCGTTTGGAAGTCATTGGCGCACGTACTAAAAAATAGGGGGAGTCAGTGAGTACTGGACCCCCCTATTTTGATTATTTGACAATTGTTTTTTGTTTTGTTGGTCTCAAAAAATGTAACTATTTATGTTGAACTAGTGTACCGAATTTAAACTTAGTATCTTATCAATTACTCGAATTATTAAAAAAAATCAGTTTTAAATTTCAAACTTTGTCGCCCTGTATATCGAACATGAAGCTCTAAATTGAAAAATGGTATTATGAAAGTCTTATTGTTTTAACTCAAGGAATATATGGTTAACGGATTGACCTCCTTTTCCCGGACACCCTGTAGTTTAAACACAAAATAAAATATGTTTCCTTTTTTATAAAAAAATCTTTTATTACAAAAAAAGGTCTAAAATGAATTAAATATAACATAATATATATATATTATATCAAAAGTATCAATTTTTCTAAGGTATCCGTTATTTCGAAAAGAACTTTCTTCTTCGTTTTACATAATAGACATAATTAAACGACACCCACTGTGTGATAGTGGTTGCTTATGACTTAAATTTATTGGTTTCATTTTTTAAATATTATTAAATTTTAATAAATAGCTCGCTTTTGATTTTAATAGTACTGAGTCTCAAGACACAATAAAATCAAGAGGAAACAGGCGCCTGTGATTACGTAACTTTTTGAAATAAGTCAAAATAACTGTCAAAATATTTATATCAAAATAAATAAACCAGTATTTGAAAAAAAAACGTAAAAATTTGACGTAGTTAGTGTATCTAACCTCTTAAATAATGTTCTTATATTTAATAAGGCGAAAAAAAATGCGCTCAGGGAAATATTTTAATTTTTTCATTAATTATTTATTGAAACGATGTAGAATCATTTCCTGTTTATAACATTGGGGTTCTCGAACTTTACATCTAACTTTTTTAAACCACACTGTGTATTATATTAAGATTAAATTTCAAAATTTCGTTTAACCGAATTTAACTGAACTCTTAGAATACGCCACTACGCCGGCCAGGTCTCTTACAAGGTGCACGGTTTCCTCGACAAGAACCGCGACTCGTTGCCGCGCGAGGTGTCGCGCGCCCTGTTCCGCTGCGACCACCCCATGATGCAGTCGCTGTTTCCCGAAGGCAACCCGAAACGGTGCACCGTCAAGCGACCGATCTCCAAGTCGGTGCAGCTGCAGGTCAGCCTGAACGCGCTGCTCAAGAGCTTGCCTTCGAGGCAGAGCCACTACATCCGCTGCCTGAAGCCGAACGAGTCCAAGCAGCCGAGGATATTCGAATTGCCTTTGATACAGCACCAGGTAACAAATTTATTTTTTCTACTCCCACCTTTAAAACGCTTCCATGACACTAAGTGACCTTTTAAATACACATTGACAAGTTGTGGCTTTATGGTGCTTTAGTCACGGGCTAAAGTTAGCAACAGGTTTTTAGTCACGGGCTAAAGTTAGTTTTAAGTTAGTTGACAGTTGTCAAATGTCATACAATCGTTAAAATAAAGTGCCTTTCTTGTAAAATAATACTAAATGTGAAAATTATTTTATTATCTCAATACAAAAATACAAAAGTATTAATAGTCCAGTCATCTAGGCATTTCACCTCGGAATCTTACGGAATTAGCTGAATTTTTGTACAAACCTTTATTTTAGCATTGCAAATGTTGTCTCAAAAGTCACATATGCCAACGTGTGAGCGGCCTTAGATATTCAAGGTCAAAGGTCGCAAAAATCAATTTTTTGAGAATATCTCCTTTTCTCTGCCTCCTATCGTATTTGCATTTATTATACAAGTTGTATAGAATAAAATTCTCTACAAATTTTGTTAAAAACATTTTTTTATACGTCTAATCGTTTTTGAGATAGAGGTCCCAGAGTGTGGAGCGCTCAGCCATACGTACCTTTAGCGCAAGGTAAATCATGAATCCCAATCTATTATACCGTTTTTGTAATGAATTATTTATTAAATATTACTTAAATAACAATTTAATACCTTATATTTATTTTTATATATTTTTTTCAAACAAATAGTCATTAAATATTACTTACTTTTGACATACAAGTAATTAAATAATGAAGTGAATCATTCTAAATATATTCTAAAGTTATTCTAATTAATGATAAATGCATTTTAAGAAGAAAAGACATTAAATGAATTTGCCTTGAATATGTCTCTGGTAATCTCTTGGATCCAGATATTGCTTTTAAAATAACAGACCTGGAAATACTATAGTGGGCTTGCTATAAACAAAAAGGTTAGGTATACCTATATTTAAAGCAAGTTGTGACCCTGAAATAGGTCTAGGGTTGTGACAGGTAATATTCGTAATATTTTAAAGGTTAACATGGCTGATTTGTGTTTTATTTGTAATAAGTTACTTTCTGAAGGTGATTCTGTGACTTTTGTGCGCGGTATAAAGACTTTAAAAGAAGCAATTATTGAGAGAAATAAACATAAACTACCTAAATACTTTGACTTCTATGAACGTTCATATTGAGTGTCGAAAATTGTATGCTATAGCGTACTATAGTAAAATTGCAGCAGTAAAACGTCGCCTTAAAGAGACTGGACCTTCAACGTCAACAACTGTACCTAGTAAACAAGGGAATGATGTGTTTGATTTTAAAATATTGTGCTTATTTTGTGGTGAAGTCGCAGATGAGGCAACAAAGGCAAAGTACAATCGCGTTAAAAGTAAGTTTTTGAAGATATGACAATTAATGTCAATGATAACGAGGAGAGTGATGATGAGAATGAGTCTGAAACTGCTGGCCAACCTGAAAAAGACGAGGATGAAGAAGATAAAGATTAATAAAAATAGTAATAATAATATTGATAAACAAAAACATTTTTTCCTACTCCGATCCAATTATCCTTCATTAAAATTAAATTAAAATATAAGATATATATGAAGATAAAATATATTTGATTTAAAAGAAATATAAATATAAGTATAAGGTATTACATTTTTATTTTAGTAATATTTATTATATAATTAATTAAAAAAACGGTATAATAGATTGGGATTCACGATTTACCTTGCGCTAAAGGTAAGTATGGCTGAGCGCTCCACACTCTGCGCCCTCTATCTCAAAAACGGTTCGACGTATAAAAAAATTTTGTAAACAAAATTTGTAGAAAATTTTATTCTCTACAACTTTTATAATAAATGCAAATACAATAGGAAGCAGAGAAAACGAGATATTCTCAAAAAACTGTTTTTTGAGACCTTTGACCTTGAATATCTAAGCGTTGGCATATGTGACTTTTGAGACAACATTTGTAATGCTAAAATAAAGGTTTTCACAAAAATTCAGCTTATTCCGTTAGATTCCGAGGTTAATCCCTTTTTTGACTACTATAAATAGTTTCTCAACGCCAATATTTGAAAAGTTTATATGAACATTGTACTGACCTTCTCATTTCGCCGGCAGTAAACTATAACTTAAATTCGGACACGGACTCCACTTTAAAGTGCTCATAAAACATTTTCTTTACTTTCACTGTGAAAAACTGTAAATTTTCAAGAAAAACATTTCGATTTATAACATTTATAACCTGTGTTTATAAAATAAAAAAATTTGACATTTGACGGTGACACACAGATTCCCCCATTGTTTTATAGATGGCGCTCTATAAAAATTTTTGATTTAAATCATTTTACGATAATAATAAGTATTTGTCATAGAAAAAGTATAGTATGCACCTCGTTTATAAACTTTTCTATGCACTCATTAATTTTAGCACTCGCTCGCAAGCTCGCTCGTGCATAAATTAAATTCGTGTATAAAATGGCGTTTATCAAACTTGATACATAATATACTATTTTCTCCTACCACCTTTAAAACGCCCATTATCGTGCATGTTTCCATGACACTAATTGGCCTTTTAAATACACATTGACAAGTTGTGGCTTTATGGCGCTTTAGTCACGGGCTGAAGTTAGTTTTAAGTTAGTTGACAGTTGTCAAATGTCATACAATCGTTAAAATAAAGTGCCTTTCTTGTAAAATAATACTAAATGTGAAAATTATTTTATTATCTCAATACAAAAGTATTAAATAATTTCTTGACCCCAATATTTGAAAAGATTATATGAACGTTTGTACTGATCTTTTGATTTCGCCTTAGTAGTGCAGTTGACTAGATTTAACTGATAAAGCGTTAACAATTTTGAGTACAGTGTCCATTAAACATTATCTTCTCTTTTACTGTGAAAAAGTGATTCTATATCGATTGTCAGTCTATTTTCAATGGATAAATTTTGATTCGCACAGAAAACAATTTTTAATTCTTTGTGATAATATTTTGCACTTATAGTAATATAAAAGGATAAAATATGTTCTTAACATAATCATATTTTGTATTTGTCGTAGAAAAAGTATTTTATGCAGCTAGTTTATAAACTTTTCTACGCACTCATTTAATTAAGCACTCGCTCGCTAGCTCGCTCGTGCCTAAATTAAATTCGTGATTAAAATTGCTTTTTAATTTTTTTTTTCGAAATAAACATCCATTTTTACGTATAATATTCGTACACTGATATCGAGAAACAAGGGAATTTCCAACGCTGATTATTATCATATAATATTATAATTATAATAATTACTTCTTTTATTTTATTTCAGTTTAATATTCTACCGGGTCGCAAAAAAAACATAATCGGTGCTATATTAAAATATCGTTTTATTTAACACATCGGTTTATAAAATTAAAATTTTGTAAATTAACTTAATAAATCATTCATTATTTTTTAATTGGATAGTTTTCCAGATAGACTTCCTTTTGGTTATTTCCTTTGTAAATAATAAGTGTGATAATGAAGTGTTAGATATTAGATATTTAACTCAAAAAAAAATGTCAATAAAAACTTTTTTCCACTCCCACCTTTAAAACGCCCTTTATTGTACATTAGGGTGGGCCGAAAATCCGCTTTTTTAGAATTTCGTTTAGTAATAGCAAAAATTTTGTTCATTATGTTGTAAAAACATTTTGTGTAAAAAATTAAAATTTTCGATCAACCTCCTAGGCTCGCCCAACGCAATTAAAGATCAAAATGTTCACAAACATTTTTTATTAACTTATAAGTTATAAATAAATTTATTAACTTATAAGTTATAAATAAATTTCGATTGGAAATTTTATGCTCTACAAAAAAGGTCCTTACACAAAATTACGTCAGATGGATAGTTTCAGAAATAAACCCGATTTTAGTATCAAAATTGTAATTTTTAGCCATTTGAATATATTTAACATTATAATGTTTATCGATAAAAAACTATTCAGAAACTCTTGGTTGTTTGGAAAATTATATTTCCTACAAAAACATCTCTTGGTATGATTTTTAGCGATTGATAACTATCAAGATAATTGCGATTTTTTTTCAAAAAGTGGCATTTTCGACAGTAAATAATTTAATAATTCTGATCTTTAATTGCGTTGGGCGAGCCTAGGATGTTGATCGAAAATTTTAATCTTTTACACAAAATTTTTTTACAACATAATGAACAAAATTTTTGCTATTACTAAACGAAATTCTAAAAAAGCGGATTTTCGGCCCACCCTATTGTACATGTTTCCATGACACTAAGTGACCTTTTAAATACACATTGACAAGTTGTGGCTTTATGGCGCTTTAGTCACGGGCTGAAGTTAGCAACAGGTTTTTAGTCACGGGCTGAAGTTAGTTTTAAGTTAGTTGACAGTTGTCAAATGTCATACAATCGTTAAAATAAAATGCCTTTCTTGTAAAATAATACTAAATGTGAAAATTATTTTATTATCTCAATACAAAAATACAAAAGTATTAAATAGTTTCTCAACGCCAATATTTGAAAAGTTTATATGAACATTGTACTGACCTTTTTATTTCGCCGGCAGTAAACTATAACTTAAATTCGGACACGGACTCCACTGTAAAGTGCTCATAAAACATTTTCTTTACTTTCACTGTGAAAAACTGTCAATTTTCAAGAAATACATTTCGATTTATAACCTTTATAATCTGTTTATAAAATAAAAAAATTTGACAATTGACGGTGACACACAGATTCCCCTATTGTTTCATAGGTGGCGCTCTATACAAACTTTTGATTTAAATCATTTTAAGATAAAAATAAGTATTTGTCGTAGAAAAAGTATAGTATGCACCTCGTTTATAAACTTTTCTATATTCATTAATTTAAGCACTCGCTCGCAAGCTATAAAATGGCGTTTATCAAACTTGATACATAATATACTATTATAACGTCATGAATCGCGTAACGGGCGCGACCTTAGAAAATCGGCAAATGCGATGCGACCAAGTTGATACTGTAAAATTTTGGATGAAGGCATATAGTAATAATTTTTTGTGTAAAACTCGAATAGTCACCTTAAACAAGCACGTATTTTAAATGAACAAATATTGTATAATTTATTTTTTAAAATTTTCTCATAATGTAACGGGTATTATTGAGTATTGAAACTCTTCCGTGTTTATTTTTAATGTTAGCTTTCAAGCGAATATTTTAAGTTTATAATATGCGTCGCAATTAAACTATTTGACTTTAGATGTATTTTTTATTTTGTTAAATAAAATATCTGATTTTTTGTCAAGGTGGGTAAGGTTTTGCGGATATACCCTTTTGCAAAAAGAATCCAACCGATGGTATTATAATAAATAAAAAAATATTCATTATATTTTAAAACCTTGGTGGTTTTTCTAGCTTTTTAACAAATTATTCGATTAGATTTAATAAAATACCTACTTAAATTTATTAGAAAACGCTTTATTTTTGGAATTTTATGTACAACATTATTTAGAAATAAGACGCTAGGTTTCGGCCAATTCGGGGGGTAAACAACTTTAAAATCTTAGAGACCAAAGTTCAATGTTAGTGGACGTTGTGTTGTGATTTTTTTCCTTATCAGTCGTTATCAATAAGGAAAACTCGAGGGGTCAACCGCCCAAAGGGAAAACGTCCAGGGATTCCCATGTATTCCCATTATATTTTATTGTATTCCTATGTATTTCCATTGTATTCCTATGGTATTCCCCCTCTAAAATGTCCAGGGATTCCCAGGTGTGGGTGACCCTTCGGGAAAACTTGCTTAATCAGTGCTTAGCGTGTTATTGTTATCCTTAGTCGTTTATTCGTAAGCAATTTTTAATTTAAAAAAAATCAGTTTTTACCGAAACCTGCATTTTTGGCCGAAACCGAAACTTCCATCGGTCGCTAAAACTAATAAATTTTGTTGACCTTAGGTCCGTTATTTGGGCCTTATAGCCACCGTGCAAGTATGGCGACAGGGCTACTGCTACCGGCTGCCTTACCTGCAGTTCCTCAGCCGCTACAAAATGATATCGGGCGCCACGTGGCCGAGGTGGCGCGGCTCGCCGATAGAGGGCGTGTCCGTGCTGCTGCGCTCGGTGCCGATACCGAGCGCCGAGTTCACGTTCGGACGCGCGAAGCTGTTCGTGCGCAGTCCGCGCACCGTGTTCGAGCTGGAGAACTTTCGGCGAAGCAGGCTGCACGATCTCGCTCTGCTGATTCAGAAGATTTGGCGCGGCCACAGGCAGAAGAAGCAGTATCAGAAGATCAGGCACAGTCAGATGGTTATTTCGTCGGCTTGGAGAAGTTGGAGGGTGAGAATCAATTTTAACATTATGTACACTTACATTTTTGTTTTTTTTTAACAAAAGTTCAAATAATTGTCCTTTTTTTATAAACGTCAGTAAAATAACAGAATGTTTACTAACTTCTTATTAAAAAATGATTACTTTCCCAATCTTTTTTAAGTTAAACTAAATTATAGTACTTGTTATCAATTTTTTTGCTTCATTACCTCTTAAAGTTTTTCTTTGACTAACTTTAATCGAGAAAATTTAATAGAAAATAAAACTCCCAAAAATAAGAAGAAAAGTTCATATGAACTTGTATGCTAAAGCTTGATTTTCTTTATACAGGTTGTTAAAATTATTAAAAAAATGATGGTCACGACACTGCTTTTTTTAGCTTGATATTATATTTCACGGTGTCCCTGAATAACTTTTAATTGAAAGGTTCAGACGTATCCGATTTTTTTTCATATTTTGATAAAAAATTACCTACAGGCCATTTTTTTTCAGGATAAACTCAATTCGCTTGTCACTTTTTTAGAAAAATCAATTTTTATAAAAACATTAATGATTTTTAATCAATTTTTTGAGATTTTTAATTAGTGTACTCCAAATAATGACTAACAGCTTTTAATGTATTTGTTACATAAAATGTGCAATTCATTAGTGTGAACTTATCACATGTCATATGTCGAAATCGTGATTGAAAATACCGTTTTTCTTTGCAATTTCTCGCAGATTTATTTATAAGTTACATATAAATAATTATATTTGCATTGATTATGGCCCCTTCCAGACTTGATTAGACTTACATAAGGTGATTCATATTGGCCTAGGTTTAGATCTCCAGGTGTGCTGTCACTTATCACTTAATTACTTCCGTGACCGTATGGTCTTTATTCACTATATTCGCTTGTTGAGGGTTGCTTTTTAATGTACTAATTTATGTTCTATTAAAACAGGTCACGGTGCTGTTCTGAGAGGTGATTTTTGGACTTTCTGTGAAACCTAATTTTTTTTTATATTTTTGTTAATTGGGTCATAACTAAAATTTTAAGAGCAAAATAAAAAAAAATTGACGGTTAATTTTGTTTTAATTGGATGTTTATTAAAAATATGTATGCACACTTTTAATTCTCCAATTAAAACTTGCGATTCTGAGAGAACAAAAATTATAGAATATGTATACTGAAAATGACAATTCAAACGTCAAATAAATTTTTAATAGATCTAAGTTTCATGGCAACCTTTAAGGATATATTAATTAAGGGAACATAAATGTATACGTCAAAGGTTAGATTAAAAGTTTGAACGTTTATTGCAACAAAAAAGTAAAATATATAAAAAAAAAAATTGTAAAAACCTTTTTTTAGTTATGCAAATATTAAATGTTTAAATTAAATCGCTAGTTTTAATTGGATAATTGAAAGAGTGCATACTATTTTTAATATACAGCCAATTAAAACAATTCAAACCGTCGGTTTTTTTATTTTGCTCTTAAATTCTTAAATATGACCTAATTAACAAGAATATAAAAAAAATTAGGTTTCACAGAAAGTCCAAAAATCACCTCTCAGAACAGCACCGTGAGGTACACTGATTTTTCTTGACTTGCACTAATTTCGCACAGGATTTTCCTTAAATTACACTAACGATTTTTATGTTTCTTTCAGACTTTATATTATTAAGAGCGATTGAATTCGTTGGAGAGTAGGTCTGCTCGTCTACCCGTCTGTATCGGTACTGCAAAGTTTTTGTTTTTTTATAAACAATAAAAATTATTTGCTTCAATGGACAAATGAGGCCTGTCAGAACAAAGTCAACAATCTCCCGTCAGACTAAAACTAAGTAAATTGAGATAATTGATTTTGGTATTTTAAATTATAGATTTGTAATTTTTTTATATATATTATATTGAAATATTGTTGTTGTTAGTCTAGTAGCCAACTGCAAGGTCTCCTGGATGCATAGTTTAGGTGAAATCTGTAATTATAAATTGCTGACTTTGATATGAATTGCTGGAGATTGTTTATTTTGTTGTAAACGTTTAAGGAGATTTAGAAAAATAAACAAAAAAATAATTGTATTTTTATTCCTTTAATGGTTATAAAATCAATGTGGGAAAATTCTGAACTGGACCACATAAATCTGGAGTTTCTTGTAAATCTGGGACCAGGTTGCTTTGTGCAAAAAAGTTTTTATAGTACAACAACTCATCTTCTTCCCACTTTGCTCCGTAATGTTTTACTTGCAATGTTTTGACATTATCAGCCTTTTCTTGCTTTACCTTTACGTCTTATTATGGTATAATAGCACCTATTTTAAATTTCACTTGTCAATGTGTATTGTTTATGTATATGAATTTTGAAAGTATTACTCCTATTATTTTTATTACTTTTCATTAATAACATATTTTCACTCATGTTTACTTTTAATCTTTAGGAATTAAAATACGGTATCCCGTTTGAAGGTCGCAAACATCTTTGGTGTCTTTATAATGTGGTATGGATAATTTTTAACTTGGCCTTGTATCCGGCTAGAACACTCGCTTTTTGATTATTAAATTTTTTTAATTTTCATTTGAATAAATATTTTATGCAATTAAAATTTCAGGCACGAGAAGAATTTAGAATACTGAAGCATAGAAAACAAGTTGAATGGGCTGCTAGAGTCATACAAAGACATTATATACAATGGAAAGTAAGTAAAATATAACACTTTATTTAATGCTTTTTGGTCACTTTGGTGAGCAATATGTAACTGAAAATGTCAGAAAATGAAATTAAATTGAAAATAACCAACAGCTAAAATGTTACTTTCAGCGCACCAAAAGAAGTATAACTTCGAAAAACGCTTTTGATAATGAATAATACATTTTTTAGAGAAGACAATACCTTATGCAACTGTACAGACTGTTGCCGGCCGACGCCGATTCGCCAATGTGCCGAGAATGGCCGAACTCGTGGCCGCAACTCACCGATTGCAACCACTTGTTGAAGAAGATACATCACAGGTGGCGCTGCCACAAGTACCGCCTGAAGTTCGATCAGACGGCGCGGAACCGGATGCGCGAGAAAGTCACCGCCAGCTTCATTTTCAAAGACAGAAAGTGTTCATATCCTAGAAGGTAAGACGTTGAAATATTCTAATCATTTTAATTAATCTATATGAGTCAATCCAAATGAAAACACCAAAAATGAATTTAAAAGTGCGCTGCATGATTTTTTATTTTAATGAAAAAATTTGAGGATGATCTTTTAGGTATCATTTATGAAAAACCGTTGCCGTTTTAATTTTTAGTTGCTTTATTTTTAATCGGCACCCTTTAGAAACCTGAAATCGTGTCATTTTCTTACTCTCTTATAAGAGGCTAAAACTTTTTTTCTGTGGCAATTATTGAAATGATTGTAATTTTATTTTACTGCCTAGCAAGTATGTTTTTAATATTAATTATTATTATCTAATTAGTTCATCTCATAAAAGAATGGTAAACCACTAAAGATTTGTAATAATTTGCTAATTTTTGTGATTTTTGTCTGGCTCCTGTGCCTATTCTGCTAAATCTAGAAAGTTGCTTTTTTTCAGGTATCAAGTACTTATACAATAGAAAACGTAACTATTATTTTTCTAGACCATCATTTTATTTATGAAAAAACATATTGAAACTTGATAATTTTCAAATTTTGCCAATTTTACCCTCAAAAATCATTATGTTGAGGAAAAAATAAAAATCTGAAACTTTCAGGAAATGTAGTCCCCACCTTCATCTTTTCAGTCTAGCTAGTCTTGTTTTGTTATTTTTATCCATGTAAAGGATATAATAATTTTTTTAATGCAGTTAAAGAGCGATATTGTTAGTTTTATTTATAATTTAAAATTTAGATGGCTTTGACTTAGTTAATTCATGTTTGGTAGAGAAATGTCAGAACTGTCAAAAATATTTCATAAATATTATTTGTGCGTATTTAAATTGTGATTTCAAAAAGTTTGCAAGTTTGCAAGTGTAATAAATGACGGAGTGTTCGAGATTCATAAATTTAATTGCAATTAAAAATGCAAGAACATATCATAATTTTGTACCTCTTTCTCATAGAAAATATTCAAGTTTTAAATTGTTAAAAATATGCAAAAACCAAAAGATATTCTAAATAAACCCCTTTATTATAACATGTTTTATTTTAACCATTTAACTAAAAACTAAAATTTAAAGAACTATTTACAGATTGTGTAATTTTTTTTCCAACATTTAAAATACATACATATAACTTTTAACTATTCAGTAAAGATGAAGGTGGGGACTACATTTTCTGAAAGTTTCAGATTTTTATTTTTTCCTCAACATAATGATTTCTGAGGGCAAAATTGACTAATTTTAAGAATGATCAAGTTTCAATAATTTTTTTAATAAAGAAAATGATAGTCTAGAAACTTAAAATAATAGTTACGCTTTCTATTGTATAAGTACTTGTTCCCTGAAAAAAAGTAACTTTCTAGATTTAGTAGAATAGGCCCAGGGCCAGACAAAAAACACAAAAATTGGCAAATTATCATGAATCTTTAGTGGTTTACCATTCTTTTAATTTTTTTTATCAAAATAAAAAATCAAGCAGCACACCCCATTTGGTGTTTTTATTTGGAATGACTCATATACAGTGTGTTTGCGACTCACCCCTGTAAAATCTTTATTTATTGTGCGATTTTAACCGGATTTCTTTTTTTTAATAATAATTTCCAGAATGGGTTTTTCTCAAAAAAAGTTAAAAAATAATATTATTAGATAATGCAGGCACCAGGATGAGGTTTGCGTCTCAAGTCGAGAGACTCAAATCATCCGAGTGAATAATGTGCATAATCTCGAGTGAAATGCTATATTTTATCTACTCCAATAAGTAGACAATTAAATCATTTTAAAGTAAATACAACCAAAGTTATCTGCTGATTAGTTGAAATTGGAAGTCGGTTAAATTATCAGATTTGTGTCATTTTTTTATGCTGATTAAATTGATAAAAACATATAAACAATTGATCGTCGGGTTTCCGAAATATTCACAAAAATATTTTTTGAAATAACCAAGTTGTACAAAAAAATATGAAACTTTGTCAATTACGTTTTTACGCAAGAGTTACGAGAACATGATTAGTGACCATGGATAATAATTATTTATTAATTATATTTTTTTCATTGTAAATCATATATTTTTTGTGTGGATGGTGTCATTAAAGCCAAAAGAAGTTTGTGTTAAATTTGTATAACATTTTCTAGTTAACTGACGAAGTTTTTGCGAGTTTAAAAAAATATTGTTCTCAATTTCCACCTTCTTTCATTTTTTATCTCAAAAATTAATAAAAATATGGAAAAATAAATTACACTAAATCATTTCGCGTAAAAAAATCTACTATGTGAAATATCTAATTGCCTGTCCGAACGCTGGTTCCGGGCCCTCAATTGTACGAGGTGTGTTCAGAAAATATCGGGAATTTTCGTTTTTTGAAACAAATATTTATTTATTCGACTACATTAATGTTGTCGCCTTTAAAATAGTCCCCATTGGATGGAACAATTTATTATTATTATTATTCTTATTATTATTATATTATGCACATGTGCCAGCTCTTCTTTCAATACTCGAAACACTTCTAAAACTCGATCTTTGGGATAGCCATTAGTTCTTTCAGCGATGCGCTTTGAATGTCATCTATGCTTGCAAAACAACGGCCCTTTAAGGTTCTCTTTATCTTTTGGAATAGAAAAAAGTCAGACAGAGGCATGTCTAGCGAATATGAAGACTGGGGCATCATTACTGTATTGATTTTGGCCAAAAATTTTGTTCAAAATTTAACAATTTTAGAACAAATTTTGCTGGCACGCGTTTCATATCTAAAACATTCGAAAAAATTTCATGGAATGAGCCAATCGATATACCAACATCATCAGCGACTTCTCTGATGGTTTATAACCATTTCTTCCACTTTTTCCATGTTTTTATCGGTTGTTAATGTGCTTGTGCGTTCGGGGCGTTCGTCATCTTCAACGTCTTCACGGCCATCTTGGAAACTCTTATACCACTTGTAAACTCTTGTTTTACTTATAGCAGACTCAGTATAGGCCTTTGTTAACATTTCACAGAATTTATTTCATTTTTTAAGCAAAATTGGATACACATTCTTTGATCCATTTCTTTTAACGAACGAAAAATCGCCGCTCATAAAACACGTCTAACCTTAGCGGCTGCCACAGACAAAGTAAACAATGAAAACAGCTTAAGTTTTTATCATACTTCGGGGGCATGTATACCAACATAATAAAGAAAATTGTATGTCAACCGGACCCTCTGAACCCGCGAAATTTAACAATTCCCGTTATTTTCTGAACACATCTCGTATATAAGATTTAATTTCGTTATATAATTTAATTTGTGAATAATTTTATGGAATATATTATTTTACAAAATATAGCGTTTTTTAATGATTTTTAGTGTTTCTCATCCATTTCTCGGTGACTACGTCCGATTGCGCCAAAACGTTCAATGGAAAAAGATGTGCTTGGAAAGCAATGACCAATATGTAGTGTTTGCAGATATTATTAATAAGATTACGAGATCCAGCGGAAAGGTACTTTTATTTGGTCTTGTTACCTTTTTATTACTATATTTTTTTTGTCTGCAGTTTGTTCCTATTCTTTTGGCGATCTCGACGAGATCAATGTTAATACTGGACCAACGAACGCTTCAAATCAAATATAGAGTGCCGGCCACAGAAATATATAGAATGTCCCTTTCCCCTTTTCTGGATGACGTCGCGGTCGTGCACGTTAGAGCAGTGAGTACCAACCTAAAATTAGTTTTAAACAATCTAGATCTAGAGAACATAGTAAGAGTAATAAAAATTAACTTATTGATTCAAAGTAAAAAACATAGCTTACAAAATAATTTTCCTTTGTATTAGATACACACTTAATATATTTTTAGTAAAAAGTATTATTAAAAAACCGTAGGGTAAGGTGGGGCAGGTTCGGACACGTTTTTTCAAAAATTAATATTTCAAAGATAACAAATTTTTTTAGACTTAATGCAAATACTACGGATAGCTTAGTCTATTTCCAACATTTTAGCATTATCTTAAGCAAAAAATATTAAGTGGTATTCGTTTGGTGATATTTTACTTAAAAAAATGCATTTGTCCGAATCTGCCCCATATTGGGGCACATTCGGACAAGTAGTGGGGTATACCCCACTACTTGTCCGAATGTATACTTTCGGACAGGCCTGAGAAAATTTAGAACCTATTTATTTTTAGAATGAATAAGAGACTATATTAGAAAAAGTTTATTAAACATTATAATTATATGGTTAACCATCAAAATTGACATTAAATTTAAAGAGCGAACACATCCTTGAAGTTCCTGGTGCTGCCTCTGGTGCTGCTTCGGTATTTTCGAAACTATATCTTCTCTGGAAACAGTCGAAATATCTTGCCGGAAGGCGCAAACCGCTTTTATACTTCCTCAAAAAACGTAAGAGCCTTCATTATTGCAAGATTCTACCTTGCCGATATAATGAAGTGTCCTTCTGTTGGTCGGGTATTTGACAAGCAAATAATCATGACAATGGATCACGTCATCATGCAATAGCATGAGCACATCGTCATTGTCTTGAAACTCGTCCAGAGAATCGGAATCAAAAATTTTTGTCTCATGCACAACATTCTGTGGTAAATCTATATCAGAATCCGAGGAGTCACTTTCTATTTTTTTTAACTTTTTCTTCGGCGCCTTTCCTTTGCTATTCTCCCCAACTTTTGTATCATTTTTCTTCACTTCACATTCGCTTGGTAATGCTTTTCTTTTCGTGTTTTTTTTTCTCCAACTTTTGTTTTCTCATTGTTTCCAATTCTTGAATTCTTTCCTTTTCCGGTGTGCTTGTATAAATTCTGGATTTACCTTTTTTCTTTTTAAAATAGTTACCTACAATCCCAGAAAGTTAAATCAATCAAAACTGGGTTTTATTTGTAAAATGGGGCACATTCGGACAGTCCGAAGCTGCCCCACCCGATTTGTCCGAACGTGCCCCATGTTCCAGAAATACATAGATATTAAAATAAAAATTCGCACATGGTTAACTGATGCTGTTTTATGAGGTTATGTATCGCCAAAGATATTAATATCTGCGGTAAAAGGTATAAAACTTACCTTACTGGTGTTCTCAAGCCAAGAAAGCTTACGATAGCCCTAATAAAATTTATAAGAATAACTATGTTTTTATATTTTCTCAAATAAATAGTTGTCGAGTGATCAAAGTCGCTAAACATGTACGGAACACAGAACTATTAGTGTAGAAGGATATTTACTGTCAATATGGAAACTCTCGTAGCACTTTAAGGCGGTAAATTTGATTTGTCCGGAGGTGCCCCATGTCCGAACCTACCCCACCTTACCCTATTTAACATTTCCCAAGTAGCATTTATAGTGGCTAAAACGTGTTGGCCACTTATACTTATACAAGTATATTGCCAAAATCTCTGCCACGTGGTAGAAACGGTTCTATTACTTTTTTTAGTGTCAGTTACGTTTCAACAACGTTCTTGAATTGTATACAGACACGTTAATACCACGTTGTGATTACGTTGCTATAACGTGGAGGTATAGTGGCCAAAACTTAATCGTAACTTTACTAATCTTTACCCCGTCTCTTTCCAGCAAATTATTTATCTGACTGGATATTAAACTAACACTGAACTATAATATTGTAAGAGTACAACTTGCAAATAATAACTGGAATTAAAATTATCCAAAGACATACAATTAACACGAATTAAATTTTACTGTCAAACGTGGGTATCATAGCTTGAAATATAAGCACGTCATGTTGAAATATGTGGTAATAAAAAAGAATAAAAAAATCTATAAACTTAGCGGTTATTAAAATTATTTTTCTAGAGGCCTAAAATATTTTTTTTTTATTTCTGGTCACCTGAAACCAATAAATATGTATTAACGTGTTAAATTTGGTGCGGTAATAACCAGAATTATTTGTTTAAAACTACGCATTTATTTCCATACAATGGCGATTATTTGTAAACATGTCTGCTTTTGAAGAAGGGAACTTTAAAGTGGTAATTTTATACGAAACGTGGAAATCACTTGAGCATGTAGCAAGAACGTGGCAATCACCACCGCAATTATATAATCAAGTTTTGCCACATTCAAGATTTGGGAAAAGTTCCTACTACCACTTCAAAGTAATACTTAAGTGATGTGATTTGGTTACAGTTACTATTCATAATCCACTCTAAAGTTAAGACAACTTTAAGGTGGTGTCAAAAGTGGTCATAACATTTTAGATATCCGACTAATACACCAAAAAGTTATAACTATAAAGTATATTCAGTTTTCGTCAATAATGCTACTTGCCAATTGGAAATTTATCACACTTTTAAAATAAGTAGTCGATATATTTTCACAAAAATTAATTTTTGAACTACAAAAGTGATTTTAGGACGTTTGAAATGCTTTTTAGAAAAATAAAACACATTTTCACAATAAAATTGAAATTAATCATAGCCTTGTACACTCAAACGCAAAATAATCGATCCACACAAATTTTCGATGAATTTCAATCGCAAATAACTTTTTTATTTGTTTTCGGATTTAAACAAATATTAAAGAATATTGTAGATACATTAATGGAGAATCGCTCACATTTTAAAAATTACTAAAAAATACACGTACGTTTATAATATACAGGTTTAAACAAAATATGTATATTGTTTATAGTATGTTTTTTATCATAAGTTTAAGACACTCTGTAGAGTGGCAAAACCGTATATTGTTCTAAATTGTGTTTTAATTATCAAGTCACATCTATTTTTAACAGTTTTGTTTTTGGTTCACCTCGATATATTTATTTCTGTAAAAAATATGGATTTTTTTAAAAAAATATTGCAATTTCCAATATTTTTCCTGTATAAAGAACTAAGGTTGCTATGGTTCATCCATAGCCTATGGATGATGACAGTGACAGTTTTTTTGAATCATCACATACTTGGACATGTCATATACAGCTTTCAAAAGCTATCAAATTGTTTTTTGTAAATTAATGTGTTAATTTTGAGGTGTCTTCTCACTTTTAAAAATGTCTGACTGATGTTGCCCTTTGTACTTTACTTCTTGTGACGTTTAAAACACTTGTCACGTAATACTGTGACCGTCCATCCTGGATTAAATTAATGGCTCTGGCAACATCAGTCGGAGACATATCCATTTTTTAAAGTAAGAACACACCTTAAAATTTAAACATTAATTTGCAAAAAACAATTTGATAGCTTTTGAAAGCTGTGTATGACATGTCAAAGTGTGGGATGATTCAACAAAACTGTCACTGTCATTCTCCATAGCCTATGAATGGACCATAGCAACCTTAGTTCTTCATACAGAAAAATATTGGAAATTGCAATGTTTTAAAAAAAAACATATTTTCCACAAAAATAAATATATCGAGGTGAACCAAAAATAAAACTGTTAAAAAAAGATGTGAGTTGATAAATACAACTTAATTTAGAACAATATACGGTTTTGCCACTCTACAGAGTGTCTTAAACTTTTGGTAAAAAACATCTTTTTGTTTAAACCTGTATATTATAAACGTAGGTCTATTTTTTAGTAATTTTTTAAAATATTAGCGATTGTCCAATAATTTATCTACAATATTCTTTAATATTCGTTTAAATCCGACATTAAATAAAAAAGTTATTTGCGATTGAAATTCATCGAAAATTTGTGTGTATCGATTATTTTGCCTGTGTGAGTGTATTATATTGAAAACTTTTAGATATTTTTTTGTTTTCCAATTAACCCCAAACCAAAATATACCTCGTAATCTGAAGCTTAAAACCTTTACTAACAATATGCAGTGCACTTAGATAGTAAGTACCACCGTATGTATGCAATGGCTAGACGTAGTTTGTTTTTGCTTTCCCCCGCAGTCTTCAGTAGGAAACTCGGAAACGTCGAGCGCCGCAAGTGACACGACCGGGTGCTTATTTCAGAGCGACATGAGCAAAAAGAAGGGCGATTTCGTCTTTCAAACCGGCCACGTCATCGAGATTGTCACCAAGTTGTTTCTAGTCGTACAAAACGCCACCGGAAAGCCGCCAGAGGTCAACATCACCACAGAGTAAGCAACATATTTATTTTTTACTTATAAACAATTTAGACAAAAATACGCAATAAATATCCAAAAACACTATTTTTAGAACAAAACAAAACAAATCAATTTTTATGTGTATTGTGTCAAAAATTTATTTACAGGGTGTCCTGTAAATGGCACACTTAAGGTATAGGTCAATGTTGCCGGGTCAAAAAAATTAAAATCACCAGACACGTGCTTTAAAAGTTGCCAGATTTAACCAACAATCACCAGATTTTGTATTTTTGCATATTTAAATGAGATTCATACAATAATTAAAATAAAACTAAATACAATGCTTTAAAGCACATTTTATTATACTTAAAAAATACGTTTAAAAAAAACAAAATTTATTGGTTCATACTATACTGTAGTAACCGTAAAGTTAAATTAGCAGTTTAAAATTAATCTTTTACTATGTAAAATTCCACTTAATATTTTGGAGTCTAATCTATTTTGCATTTTTGTTTTATTTATTTTATTTAAAGCTATGGAAAGAAAAGACCTTCATAACCTTTTATGGCATTACAGACCTCTTTCCAAAATTTAGATTTGGGCAAATTTTTTTAAAAATTTTAGTTTTCTAAACTATCCAAGGTATTGATTTTAAAACATTAAGTCTAGAGGACCAATCCTTTTATTCTATGTACTATGCTCCACACCTCAAAGTCCCACCACGTGTCCACGTACGGAACGCAGTCTTTTGATAATTTAGCATTTAAGGCTTTTCAGGTTATGGATCTGTCAAAGTATAGTCAATGA